CTCTGCTGTGGCCCTGGAAGGCAGTGGAGGATGGGCCAAGTGCTTGGGCCCTGCCCCATGTGGGAGACCAGGAGGAAGCACCTGGCTCTTGGCTTCTGTTCGGATCAGCACAGTGCGCAGGCCATAGCAGCCATTTGGGGGGTGAACCAAAGGAAGGAAGACCTTTCTCTCTGTCTCTCTCTCTCACTAACTCTGCCTGTCAAAAAAAAAAAAAAAACAAAAACAAAAAAAACAAAAAAAACTTTCCTTTCTTAGTTGAATTGTCTTGGCATATTTAAAACAAATCAGCTAATCATGTATGTTTTACCTACTTTTAAAATTTTTTTTATTTCATTGATGTATTTGTTTATCGTTATGCTAACTCTATCCTGTCTTGACTGTTATGGTTAATTTTACGTCATCAAATTAGTTATGTCAGTCATCCAATCCTGTTCTTTAAAAATCTGTGATTTTCTAAGTCTTTGCATTTTCAAAAACACTTAAAATCAACTTGTTAATTTGTGTAACAATCTTTTGTTGTTGGATTTGGACTGTGTCTATTTGGAAAAATAGACACCTTAACAATTTTCTTTCATCCTTTTATGGTATATATCTCCATTTATTAGGACATTTAAAATTTATTTCACCAACGAGTTCTTGTATATATTTTGTTAAATGCATTTCAAATAGTTTTATAATTTGATGCTAATTCAAATTGGAATGGCTTTATAATTTTTTCTCAATTTTTTTGTCTGCTTATGTGTGAAAATAAGTTGAGTTTTACATAAAGCAAACTTGCTAAATTCATTTTCTAATTGTACTAGCTTTTATGTGACACGTCAATACTTCCAATATATTTAATGCCATCATCTGAAACAGAAGAAGTTCTTTTTATCCCTTTCTTAATTTTATGATTCTTTATTTTTTAGATTTATTTATTTGAAAGGCAGAGTGACAGAGAGACAAGGAGTGGGGGAGAGAAAGTGAAAGAGAGAGAATCTTCTAGTCACTGGTTCTCTCTTTAAATGGCCTCAATGGCTGGGGCTAGGCCAGGTAGAAGCCAGGAGCCTGGAACTCCATCTGTGTTTCCCGTGTGGGTTACAGGGCCCAAATACTTGGGACATTTCTGCTGCCTTCCCAGGCCCATTAGCAGGAAGCTGGATTGGAAGCAGAGCAGCTAGCACTTGAACAAGCACTCTGATGTGAAATGCCAGTGTCGCAAGCAGGAGGAGGCTTAGTACCATAATGCTGCCCCCCTTTTATTATTTTTTCCTCTCATTTCACTGCCTAGTGTTTTCAGTTGAATGGGAGTAGTTGGAGCAATTATATTGAATTCTTTTACTGTCAAATTTGCAAGGAGGAACATTCAGTATATACCAATCAGCATCTTAGTGGTAGTTCCTCATAGATTATTTTTGTCAGCTTGAGGAAGTTCCCTTTTATTATTTGTTTGCAGAGTTCTGAAAAAATAGTCAATGCTTTTTGCCCCCACATTCATTTATTCTGTCCTGTGATGAATTAAATGAATTTTGTATTGTTAAATGAACCTTGCATTCCTGGAATAAATCTTACTTTGTCATGATATATTGCCAGTTTTATATATTTTTGGATTTCATTTGATACAATTTAAAAGGATTTTTGCATCTCTGTAAATGAGGTTTATTGGTGAATATTTTTCTTATAATGTCTCAGTCAGATTTTGATATTAGGTTTACCCTGGTGTTACGAAATGATTTCGGAGGTCTCTCCCTTTCTCTACTTTCTGAAAGAATTTGCATGATATTGAGATCATTTATTTCCTAACTCACCAGTGAAACTCTATGAGTTGGTACATGGTTGCTTTCAGAATTTTCTTATCCTTGAATTTCAGCAGGTTGACCACAATGTATGTAGATGTGGTTTTCCTTGTATTTATTTTGCTTGTGATTTGCTGAGGCTTTTGAATATACAAGCTAAAGGTCTTAACCAAATTGGAAGCATTTTGACCATTAATTCTTCATATATTTGATCTGCTCTATTCTTTACCTTCTGGGACTGCCATTGCATAGGTCTTGAAGTGCTTGAAGTGCTACTCATTTTTTTCACACCTCTTTTCTCTCTCCAGTTTTGCAGGTAATTTATATATAGAATTTGAGCCTCCTGTCTGTGTGGCTGTCTTCATGCTGGGATATCTCCTTTCAATTTCTAGTCACTCTGGTATCCCAAGTTTTCTCTCACACCATATTCTGTGGTTTTCTGCTTGAGTCTCAGTCACTTTTGCAGTACAGACTGTGTAGTGCCTCTAGTGGAAAGACTATATACAAACTTAAAATGTCTTCAGTTTCTCTATTTTTCCTTGCTGCCCAGTGCTGGTACAATCTGTTCTATCATTATTGGAGCTAGAACTCTGCCTCCTCTACTGTTAAATTCAGTTAATTTGCTCCATTCACTCTGTCTTCAGAGATCACAGTCCTCGACTCAAATCTATCAGTCATCAGATCCTAGCAATCCTACCTAAGGTGTGCTTCCTGAATCTATTGACACCTGTGTTCCTTAGGGCCACAGCTTTAGTTGGTGTCTTCATTTAACTGATCTTCCTTGCCTCCTACCCTTAACCAATGCTTAAGCTGTCTCCCTAAGTAAATCTCTGGTTATTCTACCCCCTGGTTTTAAGACCCCTCTGTGTTTCTTCAAGATTAAATCTCCTTGGCTTGGTCTGTAAAGCCATTTACAATACAGTCTATGTTCTTGGTTGCTTCATATAAAACCAATGCTGTTTATTAAATAATTCTCTGTTCTTTGGGTATATCAAAACTTTCCATGTTTTTGTGATTTTTGCACTTAGTATCTTGCATACCTGGGTGACCCATTTTCATCTGGCCTTTCTGGAATTCTTCTTTTTTTTTTTGACATAAGACGAGCAAGTGAATTTATTTTTTTATTTTTTTTTAATTTAATGAGCATAACTTTCCAAAGTACAGCTTATGGATTACAATAGCTTCCTCCCCGCTGTAACTTCCCTCCCACCCACAACGCTCCCCTCTCCCCTTCCCCTTCACATCACGATTAATTTTCTTTCTTTCTTTCTTTTTTTTTTTTTTTTTTTTTTTTTTTTTTTACAGGCAGAGTGGACAGTGAGAGAGAGACAGAGAGAAAGGTCTTCCTTTGCCGGTGGTTCATCCTCCAATGGCCGCCGCGGCCGGCGCACTGCGCTGATCCGATGGCAGGAGCCAGGTGCTTCTCCTGATCTCCCATGGGGTGCAGGGCCCAAGCACTTGGGCCATCCTCCACTGCACTCCCGGGCCACAGCAGAGAGCTGGCCTGGAAGAGGAGCAACCGGGACAGAATCCGGCACCCGACCAGGACTAGAACCCGGTGTGCCGGCGCTGCAAGGCGGAGGATTAGCTTAGTGAGCCACAGCACCGGCCACGATTAATTTTCAATTATCTTTATATACAGAAGATCAATTTAGCGTATGTTAAGATTTCCACATTTTGCTCCCACACAGAAACACAAACAGAGTTCAACCAATAGTTTTTTTTTCTTTTTTTTTTAATCTTTTTTTTTTTGACAGGCAGAGTGGACAGTGAGATAGAGAGACAGAGAGAAAGGTCTTCCTTTGCCGTTGGTTCACCCTCCAACGGCCACCGCGGCCAGCGTGCTGTGGCCGGCGCACCACGCTGATCTGATGGCAGGAGCCAGGTACTTATCCTGGTCTCCCATGGGGTGCAAGGACTTGGGCCATCCTCCATTGCACTCTCTGGCCAAAGCAGAGAGCTGGCTTGGAAGAGGGGCAACCGGGACAGAATCTGGCGCCCCGACCGGGACTAGAACCCGGTGTGCTGGCGCCGCAAGGCGGAGGATTAGCCTAGTGAGCCGCGGTGCCGGCCCAACCAATAGTTTTAAGTAGAATATAAAATGCATCTTTTGTATTGTTGTGGCTTCCCCCCACCCCGACCTCCCTCTCTCCCGTGGCCCTCCCCTCACCCACTTCCTCTCCCATCCCGCCCTTCATCACGTTTCATTTTCAATTACCTTCATATACTGAAGATCAACTTAGTTTATACTAAGCAGGGATTTCAACAGGTTGCACTCACACAACCGAACCAGGTATAGGGTATTGTTCGACTAGTAGTGTTGTTTTTGAGTTTCATAGTGAAACACATTAAGGACAGAGATCCTGCGTGGGGAGCATGAACCCAGTGACTCCCGTTGTTGATTTAACAATTGGCACTCTTATTTATGATGTCAGCAATCACCTGAGACTCTTGCTATGAGCTGTCTAGGCTATGGAAGCCCCTTGAATTCACCAACTCTGAATTTGTTTAGTCAAGGCCATATCACAGTGGAGGTTCCTTCCTCCCTTCAGAGAAAGGCGCCTCTCTCCTTGATGGCCTGATCCTTCTGCTGGGGTGTTGTTCACCAGGATCCTTCATTTAGATTGTGTTTTGCCACCGTGTCATGGCTTTCCATGCCTGTGAGACTCTCATGGACCTTTTAGTCAGATCCGATGTCCCAAGGGTTGATTCTGAGGCAGGAGTGCTGTTTTGGGCATTTGCCATTCTATGAGTCTGCTGTGTGTCCTGCTTCCCTCACAGGATCATCTGGAATTATTCTTAAAATCCAGTTCAAATGCCACTTATTCTGGAAAGTCAGCCCTAACTGGGTAATCTCTGTCCTTGGCATCTCTCCTCTGTGTTCATATAGTACATAAAAATCCACATGTTGATTTTTCTGTCCATTTATCCATCTATTATCTGTCTACATAATTTTCTCTTTCACAGGGGATTCTAATTTCCTTGAACAAGGTGTTGTGACTTTCAGATATGTGTTTCTAATATCCATAACATCTACTAAGTACAGTATATACCATGTAGATTCTCACTGTATATTTTTATTGATATTGATATTACAAAAAGATATTTCTCAGAAATGATACTCAAAGTAATAATTTTATCTATAGAAACTAAATACTTACCAACCTGAAAGGATAACCTAATTAGCAAGGTCATATATTAATCTGCTATTTATTGTTTCTTTAGAAGTAATTGCTCCTCCATCAAGCATCCCCACAGAGTTCTGCCAGAATGGTGGAACCTGGCAAAATGGCAGATGTCTTTGTACAGAAGAGTGGAAAGGATGGAGATGTACAATTGGTAAGTTACTTCAGATAATACTAGGTGTGAGACTTAAGTGAAGATTTTGTTAATAAAAAGAGCAGTAAAACTTCTGTAATCTTCAGTTAATGAATACAGAAGTATTGGACATAATGGTGATAACATTTTTTTTCCCCAGAAAACTTTTATTTAAGGTGTACAAACTTCATGTACTTCAGAAATACAACTTTAGGAACATAGTGATTCTTCCCACCATACCTGTCTTCTCACTAGCTCTCCTGCTCTCTTCCTCTCTCTTTCCTATTTCTATTCTTATTTTTTATTAAAATCTATTTTAAATTAACTATATACAGAAGACTAACTCTATGCTAAGTAGAAGTCAACAAATAGAATGAAAAAAAAAAAAACCTGTTCCTCAACAGTTCTTTTAGTTCTTCTATGACCCATGGTTCATTCAGGAGCATGTTGTTCCGTTTCCATGTTTGCATATGTTCTAGAGATTCTTGAGTTGTTGATTTCCAGTTTCATTCCATTGAGGTCAAAGAAGATACATAGTATGATTTTGATTTTTTTGAATTTGCTGAGACTTGCTTTATGGCCTTGTCTCTGATCTAAATGCACTGGTGAGAAGAATGTGTATTCTGCAACTGTAGGTTGAAAGGTTCTGCAGATATCCATTAGGTACATTTGTCAATTAACTATTTCCTTGCTGATTATCTGTCTGGTTGATCTGTCCATTGCTGAAAGTAGGTATTGAAGTCCCCCATTACTATTGTATTGGAGTCTATATCTCCCTTTAGATCCATTAACATTTCTTTTAAATAGCCAGGTACCAAGTAATTAGGTGCATTTACATTTATTGTAGTTGTATCTTCCTATTGAATTGACCCCTTAATCATTGCATAGTGCTGTTCTTTGTCTCTTTTAACAAGTTTTGTGTTAAAGTCTATTTTGTCTGATATTAGGATGGCTACAGCAGCTCTTTTTTGGTTTCTGTTGGTATGGAATATCCTTTTCCATCCTTTCACTTTCAGTCTGTGTGCATCTTTGTTGGTGAGATGTGTTTCTATAGGCAGCAGATAGATGGGTCTTGTTTTTTAATCCACTCAGCCAGTCTGTATGTTTTTTTTTAAAGGTTTATTTATTTATCTGAAAGTCAGAGTTACAGAGAGAGAAGGAGAGTCAGAGAGAGAGAGAGAGAGAGAAAGAGAGAGAGAGAGAGAGAGAGAGAGGTCTTCCATCTGCTGGTTCATTCCCCAATTGGCCACAATGGCTGGAGGTGTGCTGATCTAAAGCTAGGAGCCAGGAGCTTCCTCCAGTTCTCCCACCTGGGTTCAAGGGCCCAAGGATTTGGGCCATCTTCTGCTGCTTTCCTGGGCCATGGCAAGTAGCTGGATTGGAAGAGGAGCAGGTGGGACATGAACTGTCTGCCAGTGCCGCAGACAAAGGATTAACCTACTGCACCATGGTGCCGGCCCCATGGCTGTTTCTTTTCTTTTTTTTAAAACTTTTATTTAATAAATATAAATTTCAAAATTACAACTTTTGGATTATAGCAGTCCCCCCACCCGCCATAACTACCTTCCACCCCCAAACCATCCCATCTCTTACTCCCTCTCCCATCCCATTCTTCATTAAGTTTCATTTTTAATTATCTTAATATACAGAAGATCAACTTAGTGGCTGAAACTCACTCCTTTTTTTTTTTTTTAATTTTTTTGACAGGCAGAGTGGACAGTGAGAGAGAGAGACAGAGAGAAAGGTCTTCCTTTGCCGTTGGTTCACCCTCCAATGGCCGCCGCGGCCGGCGCACTGCGCTGATCCGATGGCAGGAGCCAGGAGCCAGGTGCTTATCCTGGTCTCCCATGGGGTGCAGGGCCCAAGCACCTGGGCCATCCTCCACTGCACTCCCTGGCCACAGCAGAGAGCTGGCCTGGAAGAGGGGCACCCGGGACAGAATCCGGCACCCCGACTGGGACTAGAACCTGGTGTGCCGGTGCCGCTAGGCGGAGGATTAGCCTAGTGAGCCACGGCGCCAGCCTTGAAACTCACTCCTATCATTTCCTATACTTCCACCAGCCTGTACACCCACAACTTTGGCCTTTTTGCTTTGATCTGCATCCTCATGTTGCTTTTAATTACTGTAGGCTCTATATTTTTGATTCCCAAGATTCCACATAATCTGATATGCTATTCTTGCTAGTATGTAAATGTTCATATCCCACCTTTACCCAAGTATAAATTGTGCGTGTTTTTATTGGAACTTGTTATCCATTATACTAGTTATTCTAATGGGAGTAACATAAATCAATTGGGAAGTATGGAAATTCCTGGCAGGCCGGGGGTTCTAGCAGCCTATACACTGGGGCTGGCGCTGTGCTGTGGTTGTAAGGCTGCCACCTGCAGTGCTGGCATCCCATGTGGGTGCTGGTTCAGCTCCTGGCAGCTCCACTTCTGATCCAGCTCTCTGCTGTGGCCTGGGAAGGCAGGGGAGGATGGCCTGCATTCTTGGGCTCCTGTACCCATGTGGGAGATCCAAAGGAGGCTTCTGGCTTTGGATCAGCCCAACTCTGGCTGTTGTGGCTATTTAGGAGTGAACTGGTGGGTGGCAAACCTCTCTCTCTCTCTTCCTCTCCTTCCCTCCCTCCCTCTCTCTGCCTCTGTAGCTCTGCCTTTCAAATAAATAGATACTTTTCTTTAAAAAAGCCTATACACTGCATAGGTTCTGAATTTTGATTTATATGTGTTTTCAAACTAAAAAATATAGTTTATAATGAAAAAATATATTTTTCTTTCCATTACAGCTAATTTCTGTGAAAATAGTACGTATATGAGTTATACTTTTGCCAGAATTCCTGTAGGCAGATATGGACCTTCCTTGCAAACATGTGACAAGAACACTCCCAATGGTATGTATTTTTCTGAACATCTCCTCTGTTTAGGATTGAGAATAGCTGTGCTGAGCTATACCTATCATCCCTCCAACTAGGGCAAGGTCCCTGGAAGAGGCATCAAGGAAACCTTTATGATGCCAACACTCAAAGTTTATGGTGGTATTTCACATAATCCTAATTTTCCTAGATACCTTAATACAGAACCATTGTTTACAAATTCCTCTTAATACGTACTTAATTGGTTTATTTTTCCAATTTACTCTTATTGCTTAGAGTTCAATCAGCTTAGCATTTTAGTTATACAATTTGTCTTGATTTATGAAACAGGTCTAGACTAGAGACTCACATTCTACCAGATAAAGATGCACATTTAAATCTGTCCATAGGTGTAGTCTTTCATTTCCTTGGTCATTTTCATGATCCATTTTAGAACATTCTTTAGCTTCCTATAGTTTCCTGAACATATAGCAGTCTTGCTTCATGGAGGCATTCCGAGAGTACAAGAGCAAATGATATTTCTATTTCTAATATTTTTCCTGAAACTATCCAGGATTTTGATGACTTATCTTATCAGTACCACATTGGGTAGTATCTTCACATTGGGTAGTAGCTTTTTGCAACACATCGATCCCTTTCCTGTTATTTATAGCTTATTAAGGCACATATTTTTTCCTAAATGTTTTACCTGTGTCTTGTTTGTTCTGACTTTCCTCTGTCCAGTTTTCCTGGTTCACATTCCTTCCTGTAGCTAATCTTCCATTTCCTACAGAACTAGATACTTCAATAATATCCTCAATTCTAGATAATTTGCAAAATTGTTTAACTTTTGTCAGTAATGATGCTAGAAAAAATTTCATATTTCATTTAGAGATTTATTTTTGTATATGCTAGGGACTCTATAAAACACTGAACAAATTATGTGAATTGTTCTTTTCTATATGCTTTACTTTAATTATAAAGATGATGTAGCTCTGCATTCCATTTGCAGAATCCAGATTGCACTTGCCCACATTGATTGTGCTTACTCAAGTATTCATGATCCTTCTCTTTATGCAGGCCCTTCCAACTTCTTATTAAGATCTCAGAAGTTAAGGGGAGTTCAACTAAGTTGGTGCTTACTATATATATATATATATATATATATACACACATATACATATATATACACACACACACACCCCATATATAACAAAAATACCAGTTGTCTTTATTTTATGTTTGTGTATCTCAAGTATTTCATAATCCTTTATCAAACAGATATAAATTAGAAAACAGTTTGCTACTGAATTAGAAATAGAAAAAGTGTCAGTGATATACCAAGGAAGAGTCATCATATTTGTTTGACATATATTATACATTTTGGTATCAGAAGATCACTATCTTTCATTTGGTAATTTATTTTTTATTGAAAATTGTTATAAAAATGTTTATTTATCTTTGAGTTTTAGACTAAGTTCATAATATAATTTTAAAGGTACAGATTTCAACTGTTGGAAAATTTGCTTTTAGTTTTATATTGAGTTACTTTTAATTACTTAATTTTATATAACAAATGATCCGAAAGCTTTTCAGTTATTTTGGAGTTAAGGATGTGCATATTTGTAGGCAATATCATGAAAATGCTTTTGGCTCCTTAAAAGTTATTTATATGTAGGGGCTGGCGCTGTGGCACAGTGGGTTAAAGCCCTGGTCTGAAGCGCCAGCATCCCATATGGGCGCCAGTTCTAGTCCTGGCTGCTCCTCTTCCTACCCCGCTCTCTGCTATGGCCTGAGAAAGCAGTAGAAGATAGTCCAAGTCCTTGGGCCCCTGCACCCATGTGGGAGACCTGGAAGAAGCTCCTGGCTCCTGGCTTCAGATCAGCACACCTCTGGCCATTGCAGCCATCTGGGGAGTGAACAACCAGTGGATAGAAGACCTCTTTCTCTGTCTCTACCTCTCTCTGTAACTCTGCCTTTCAAATAAATAAAATAGATCTTTTTAAAAAGTTATTTATATGTAAATAAATATAAATGTTATTGTATAGAAATGAATGAAAAGTTATTTATATTATACATAAATAATGTTATTTATACTATATATAAATAATATTACTTACATCCTATATACCCATTATACATATAAAAAGTGTTCATTTTATTGTGGAATAGAGATGCAGCTTTCATATAAATTAAGAGTGACTGCAGGGGCAAGCTTTGCAGTATTGTGGGTTGAGTCTCCATTTGGAGTTCCTGCTTCCCATGTCAGAATATCTGGGTTAAGTCCCACCTCTGTTTCTGACCCAGCTTCCTGCTAATGCATTCCTTGATGGTTCAAGTACTTGATTCCCTGCCACCCATTTGGGAGACTCAAATGAGCTCCTGGCTCCTGGCTTCAGCCTGCTCCAGCCTGCTCCAGCTTCTGCTATTACAGGCATTTTGAGGAGTGACCTAGTAGATGGAATATCTCTGTCTCTCACTGCCTTTCAAATAAATAAACATTTTTAAACATCCACTAAAAATAGTGACTCCAATTTTCCACATTGAGTATTGTTGAACAAATCTCTAATTTCCATGTTTCTAGTTGTTGTCCAAGAAGGAACTACCCAAAGGCAGTCCTGAAGAAAATTCAGCTTCTGATCAGCTGCCCTTCTAGTGATGATTTTTTTCTGTAGGATCTACTTAGTGTTAGCTAAGGAGTGGTGTGAGGTAGGGAGGTTCAGGTGATAATCCTATGAAATAAAGTCAAGATCCAACAAGCATTTGTGGAGAGTCAGCCAAATATCTAGAAAGTGTTACAATACAATAGAAATTTTCACCTTTCAGATGTTAACCAGATTGGTGTAAAAAAGGAAAGACACACATATAAGTCCATATCTAGTAAGAAAATTTATATTTGCTTCCGGTCTCTGCCCAATATTCTCTCATCATTTCGTTAAAAGCCATTTGTCTCTAATTATTGGATGTAAATCTTCCTCGCAGAAATCTAAGGAAGGACATAGTCAACTGTCTTTTTGAACTGCAGATTAAAAAACCCAGCTAACAAGTAGTATCTGCCCAAACTTATAGGGCTAAAACAATAAAGATTCTCATAGCTCTGTGAGCTGACTGGGCACCTAGACTGGACTCACTCTCTTGCCTGAGACCTGGTGCAGGCAGTTGGCTGGCATGCCCCAGTTTTCCAGTTGACCTCTGATCCTCTAGTAGGTCACACCTGCTGCCTGCTGAGTCTCAGGATAGCACTCCAAGAGGGTGAAGGCTGAAATTTCAAGGTGTCTTTAAGTCTAGAGTCTGGAACACACGTATTTCTACCACATTCTATTGGTGAGAGCAAGTCACAAGGCCAGCATATATTCAGAGAGGATTGATCTATCAATCGATTGATCGATCTACTATTTTCTTCTTACTTGAAAGGCAGAGAGACAGAGAGAGATCTTCTATCCACTGGTTAGCTCCCCAAACACCCCAAACAGAAGGACCTGGGTCAGGCCAAATCCAGGACTCTAAATCTCAATCCAGGTCTCCCACATAGGTGGCAAGGACCCAAGTAGTTGAAGCATCATTTACTGCCTTCCAGGGTGTGCATTTAGAGGAAGCTGGATTGGAAGCAGAGGAGCTGGAACTTGAACCCAGGCATCCCAAGTGGCAGCTTACCCACTGTGCTGAATGCTCATCCCCAGACTCCATCTCTTGATGGGAGGAACAGCAGACTCACTTGGTGCTGGGGCATGGATATAGGTGCAGGCACTTGCTAGAATTAACTTTGCAAACATTGTCTTTTTTTTTTCTTCTGTTCATTAAAGCGGGCAGTCCACTGGCAATCCGACTGTGTGGTCTGTCTCTGTATGGAGAGATAGAACTGCAAGATGTGAAAAAAGGAAATTGTGATGAAAATCTGGAAACCTTGGAGGGAAAGGTATGCCATGCAGCCAATCTGAAGAGCAACTAGTAGTATAAATTCTGACTGTATGAAGTCTTGTTCTTCAGATACCTAGTAGTCAGATCAATGCTTTTTAATGTTCTCAAATTAGACATGATAAAAACTAGTAGCACTAAAACCATTCTTATTTCTTTAAAGTTGACATCTGTTTATGAAAATGTGAAAAAAGATAGCTAGACATGTCAGTTCAGCAAGCTTCAGCAAATGATGGTCTATAGCATATTGTGAATGGTATTAGTGGGTAGGGATGGGAGTTGGGTTGCCAATCACAGAATGTACTAACCCCACACACTGGAGGAAAGGCTATGGATTCTGGAATCTGATCAGCCAGTGCCTGACTCTCAGCTCTGCTATTTACAAGCCGAGTGGACTTGAGTGAGGCCCTTAACCCCTCTGAGCCTTTTTACGGGGATGAAGACCCTCAGCTCACAATGTTGCTTTGTGGATTATCTGTGATCACAACTGTGAGACATCCAGCCAAGTGCCTAGCACAGCGCAGGGCCCTGGCAATGGAATGCAAGAGATAGTTGTTTTCTGATTCCGTATTTCTTTGACTTCCCTGTGTGAGTAGCCTGTGACAGTGTTCTCATTTTTGAAATGTGCTGCCATCTAGTGAAAAACGAAGCACTCCACAACCACTCATTGACATCTGGCTGCACTAATAACAAAATGGACTAGTGTATTTTAGATGCAAAACTCAGAACCCTGGGACCAATCAGTTCCCAAAGAGGTTGTCTTGGCCAGTTCTTCTAAAGTTTCTGTGCTGAAAAGTCAGTTCAGAAAAATTCCAACCCATTGCAGACCAGTAATTTTGTTAAAAAAATCAAATGAACCAGAAAAATGAATTAAGAAGATATATAAGATGCAAACTTATTTAAAAGCTTAGGTTCAACAGCATAAAACTGCTATATACATTTCTGGCCACTAACTATCAGTTTCTGGGCTTATTTTCCTGTGAATTTTCTATCAAATAATGAGCCAACATTGGTCCATGGCTATCCATTTAGTGACTCTGATCTAGCTAAGGAAGACCATTCTAGTGCACCCATCCTGACAGATTGTCAAGGCTGGGAAAATCACTGGCCTGCATGTGTTTCATCCCTTATACAAGAAAAGAGACAAACATGCAAAAATGGATAGGTTTGTTGTTGAGGAGATTGAGGTTTAGTCAAACTTCAGTTTATTTATATGCAGTTGTTTGCAAAGTATTTAGACGTAGTTATATAAAGCTAAGCTGATGTGTTGTGTTTGTGTGATTTTTTTAAACAGATAGATGATATCCCAACAGAATCTGAGAGTATTTCTAACCACACCCAGATTTTAACATCTGATGCCAGCATATTGACTGCTGACAACATTACTTCTGCTACTGAAGTGGTTGGACAGATCTTCAATGCATCCAGAAATGCTGCACCTGAGGTAAAACTCAGAAGATTTCAAAAAAAGGGAGGGAGAAGGGAGAAAAAAAATCTCCAATTCCACTCATCCCATGGCATGGTTTGGGCATGGTTTAGGCTGCTTAAACACGATTTGCCACATAGTCTTTCTGAGAGATGCTCAAAGAAGTTAGAAAAAGGCTCATTATTTAAATATTCCATTTGGAGAATCTTCACAATGATCATTATCATGCTAAATCTTCCAGAAAATTTTGGGATTAACCATTCTATTTCACTTTATTAAATCTTTTACCTACTGTATTTCACCCCATTATCCCTGTTCTATTGCACGAAAACTGAGTTCCAAAGAACGGACTCTAGAACATACTATTTTTTTTAAAGATTTATTTATTTATTTGAAAGGTAGAGTTACAGAAGGCAGAGAGATAGAAAGAGATAGAGAGATAGAGAGATAGAGAGATAGAGATAGAGATAGAGTCCAAAGCCAGGAGCCAGGAGCTTCTTCCAGGTCTCTCATGTGTTACAGGAGCCCAGGGACTTTGGCCATCTTCTAATGCTTTCCCAGGCCATAGCAGAGAGCTGGATGGGAAGTGGAGTAGCAGGAACTTGAACCAATGCCCATATGGGATGCTGGCACTGCAGGTAGTGGCTTTATCCAGTATGCCACAGTGCCATCCCCCCTAGAATACACTATTTTAAACTACAATCCCTTTCTGCTAATTATATGAGGGCGCTATTTCAAAAGCTTTATATAACTATGTCTAAATACTTTGCAAACAACTGCATATAAATAAACTGAAGTTTGGCTAATTTTATTTTCTTATAAAATTTTTTCAAATCCATGCTTACCAGGAGTCTTCAAAACATTCACGGAAGGCACTGGTAATTGTGGGGGCAGTGAATTAGACTGCTACTTATGATACCAGCATCCTAATTAGAAGTGGCAATTTGAGTACTGGCTGCTCTGCTTTTGATCCTGCTCTCTGCCATCCACAAAGGAGATCAGGAATACAATTCCTGGCTTCTGGCTTCAGCCTGGCCCAAGCCTGGCTGTTGTGACCAGTTGGGAAGTAAATCAACTGGTATCTATCTCCTGTCACTCTGCCTTTCAAATAAATAAATAAATCTTTTTTAAAAAAAAGGTTAAGGAAATGCATGTCATACAAACTGTATAGATTTGAAAATCTTTTTGCACCAAAATAAACATCTTAAACTTCATCTTTTCCATGAACTTAAAGAATTATTCATGAAGCTGGGAGAGAGTGAGTGGCATGGTGGAGTGGTGAGGCACCAGAGAGCGAGACAGACAGAGCTCCTGGCTCATTCCTCAAATGCCCACAACAGTAAGGAACTAGGAACTCAATCTAGGTAGCCATGTGGATGTCAGGGACCCAACTACTTGAGCTATCATCTGCTGTCTCGCAGGGTAAAAATTAGCAAGAACCTGGATTAGAAGTGGAACCAGGAATCTAACCCAAGCATTCTGATATAGGATATCAGCATCCTAACTGGCATTTTAACAGCTATACCAAATGCCTACTTCTCTATCAACTTTTTGAATTACACTGTATTTTCATTTTTGTCCTGCCTTTCTGAAAACTTTTAGCATAATTTAAATTTATGACATCATAACCTGTTAAACTCTAGTGTATGAAATCAAGAAATATACTCACCATTTCCCAATGCTGTAGCTTGGGTACGGCTTAAGAGCCATAAGCTACTCATCCAGTATCTACAAGCTGAGCAGGAGTATGGTATGGAAACAATTACTCCTTCCTTTTGTTCCCTTTAAATTTCTTATTTCCAAAAAAAAAAAAGTATTTTATGTTACCAGAGATCCTTTGGAATATAGGTGAGATTTAAATAAAAAATTAATAAAGATGAAATTAAGAGAGAAAAGTATTAACTAACAACTGTAGAATTTATGGGAAGCTTAGCCAGGAAAGACCGAAGTGCACCAATATCTGCACTAGGGCTATTAAGTAGTGATCAAAAGCCATGAGATCATGATTCTAGCATACTCCTGGGCTTTTGATTTTAAGAAAACTAGAAATATTTTACCAAGTCTACTTGTTATCAAGTATTAAAACAATAGTAATACCAAGGGTAATTTCTAAGATTTGCAAAGTATTGTAGGCTATAAGGCTTTAACAATCAGAGCTCTGTACTGTTCTTACTTTATTTTAGTATTTCTAGCCAAGTATTTGCTTTTGTGTTCTTAGAAGTCAGGTGAGTGTTCTGTGAAAGATCTTACTGTGAGTTCAAATTCAGAGACCTAAACCTAATTCATTGCTCCGTTTACTCATTTGCCTTGTCTTGATCCTCTCTGCCATCTCTCTTTTTAAAAAGATTTATTTAATTAATTTATTTGAAAAGCAGAATGATGGGGCGGGGGATGGGACACAGAGAGAGAAAGAGATCATCTATCCAATGGTTCATTCCCCAGATGGCTGCAACAGCTGGGGCTGGGCCAGGCTGAAAGCAGGAGCCAGGGACATCATTTGGGACTCCAAAGTGAGTAGCCAGGATCCAAGTACTTGGACCATCTGCTTCTTTCTTAGGTGCATAAGCAGGGAACTGGATTGGGAACTGAGCAGTTGGGGACTTGTGTTGCAAGTGGCAGCTTAACCCACTGTGCCACAGTGCTGGTCCCCTCTGCCAAGTTATGTAAATGAAACAATAAACCTTTGTTTTTGAAAAATGCTTGCCTCTAGATTATCATACCAGTGGTGCCACTTTCTACTATAAGAAACCATGATGATGGTGGTGGTAACATGTATGTGTTTTCTATAACAATTGGTGCTTCCCCTTTGCAGGCAAAAAGAGTTGCAGTGACAACAGTGAGTCAAATTCTAGATGCCAGTGAAGATGTTTTTCAAAGAGCTGCTGCTGCTGATAATGATGATTCCTTTGCAACGTAAGCACAATTTCAATTTGGAAAGACAAGCCTTCCAAGTGCCAATAATTCTAGGTTAGAGCATTAGCAGAGGTGTCATCATTTCTCTCTTGGATTGAAGTAACTGGCTGATTCCCCTGGAATGCAGACAGCAGCCTGGGCTCACCACCTCATTTTGTAACCAGATGGGATGGTTTATGCCACCTCTTGGTTCCTGAGGTGGTCACAGCCTTGGAGCTAGAGAGAAACTTGGATGATCTAGGTTATAACTTGCTTTCCTAACCTTATCTCGGCATGGCAAAGGGGCAGCTCCAAGCACAGAAGGAGCTCTTCCAACTGCTTTATCGAGGCCCAGAGCTACGTGGAGAAACTAACGTGCAGGACACAGTGCCAACCCCCAAATCATGCCCCAGTTCTCTTTCCAGGACCCTGATGTATTTTGATTAAGCTCTCTTTAGCTTTCACAAGGCTATATTACAAAAAAAAAAAAAAAAAAAAAAAAAAAAAAGAAAAAAAAGAATTCAGCTCTAGTGGATTTTTCTCTTCTTGACTCCTATGTTCTGGATTACTTTATTCAGAGGACCCTCACTGAAAATTGCTGTGTTTTTACTTTATATACAGTTTTTTAAAAAAAACTCTTTTACTGTTTAAGTGAATATGCATGCTCATTGTAGAAAATTAAAAAAATTTATAAGTGAGCAAATTTTTAAAAATTTTCCTACTTTACATGTTGGCATATATTACAGAGTTTTTGTGTCTGTGAATATGCTTGTAGTTATGCATCTTAATGCTTTGTAACTTGCTTTTGCCACTTAAAACTTTAAAATGTCTTTTTATATAAATGCCTATTAATCTACAGAATAATTTTAGATTGTAATATGAGAGAATGTTTACTTAACCAATTTTTTATTCTGATGTACATTTACATCCCTTCAAGTCTTTTAACATCCCTAATAAGCAACATTCTTGTGCAGAATTGTTTGCATGACCCATTATTTCCTGCTACACTAACTGAAAATCCTTGCGTGAAAACATCTGATGTATTCTTTTTCCCTTCCCTTCCTTCCCCTCCCCTCCCCTCCCCTCCCCCCTCCCCTCTTCCTCCCCTCCCTTTCCCTTTCCCTTCCCTTCCCTTCCCTTCCCTTCCCTTCCCTTCCCTTCCCTTCCCTTCCCTTCCCTTCCCTTCCCTTCTATCTGTCTCTCTTTCTTTCTTTATATTTTTCTTTCTCTCGCTTTCTTTCTTTTTTTCTTTCTTTCTCTAGCTCCTTCCTTTCTCCCTCCCTACTTCCCTTCCTCCCTTCCCCAGAACACCTTTATTTAAGGAATACAAACTTAAAGTGATCCCGTAAACTTTATTTAAGGAAACAAAGTTCATAAGTACAACTTTAGGGACATAGTGATTATTCCCATTTACCTGCCCTACAACTCCCACCCCCACCACTCTTCCCCTTCTCTCTCATGTTCTTTTTCTTTTACTAAAATATATTTTAATTAACTTTTTTAAACTTTTTTTAATGAATATAAATTTCCAAAGTACAGCTTATGGATTACAATGGCTCCCCCCCCCACACCGATAACTTCCCTCCCACCCCCAACCCTCCCATTTCCCGCTCCCTCTCCCCTTCCATTCACATCAAGATTCATTTTCAATTCTCTTTATATACAGAAGATCAATTGAGTATATATTAAGTAAAGATTTCAACAGTTTCCACCCACACAGAAATACAAAGTGTAAAACACTGTTTGAGTACTAGTTATAGCATTAAATCACAAGGTACAGCACATTAAGGACAGAGATCCTACATGGGGAGTAGGTGCACAGTGACTCCTGTTGTTGACTTAACAATTGACACTCTTGTTTATGGCATCAGTAATCACCCGAGGCTCTTGTCATGAGTTGCCAAGGCTATGGAAGCCTTTTGCGTTCATCAATTCTGATCTTATTTAGACAAGGCCATAGTCAAAGTGGAAGTTCTCTCTTCCCTTCAGAGAAAGGTACCTCCTTCTTTGATGACCTGTTCTTTCCACTGGGATCTTACTAGTAGAGATCTTTCATTTAGGTCATTTTTTTTTCTTTTGCCAGAGTGTTTTGGCTTTCCATGCCTGAAATACTCTCATGGGCTTTTCAGCCAGAACAGCATGCCTTAAGGGCTGATTCTGAGGCCAGAGTGCTGTTTAGGCAATCCACCATTCTATGTGTATCCTGCTTCCCATGTTGGATCGTTCTCTCCCTTTTTTTTATTCTATCGGTTAGTATTTGCAGACACTAGTCTTGTTTGTGTGATCCCTTTGACTATTAGTCCTATCATTATGATCAATTGTGAACTGAAATTGATCACTTGGACTAATGAGAAGGCATTGGTACATGCCACCTTGATGGGATTGAATTGGAATTCCCTGGTATGTTTCTAACTCTACCGTTTGGGGCAAGTCAGCTTGAGCATGTCCCAAATTGTACATCTCCTCCCTCTCTTATTCCCACTCTTATATTTAATAGCGATCACTTTTCAGTTAAGTTTCAACCCTTAAGAATAACCGTGTATTAATTACAGAATTCAACCAATAGTATTAAGTAAATAACCACAAAAATACTAAAAGGGATAAAGTATTAAGTTGTTCATCAACAGTCAGGGCAAGGGCTGATCAAGTCACCTTTTCTCATACTGTCCATTTCACTTCAACAGGTTTCCTTTTTGGTACTAAGTTAATTGTCACCAATCAGGGAGAACATATTATATTTGTCCCATTGGGACTGGCTTAAGTCACTCAGAATGATGTTTTCCAGATTCCTCCATATTGCTGCAAATGATTGTATTTCATTTTTTTGACTGCTGTATGGTATTCTATAGAGTACATGTCCCATAATTTCTTTATCCAGCCTACTGTTGATGGGCATTTGGGTTGATTCCAGGTCTCAGCTATTGTGAATTGAGCTGCAATATACATTGAGGTGCAGACAACTCTTTTATTTGCCAATTTAATTTCCTTTGGGTAAATTCCAAGGAGTGGGATAGCTGGATTGAATGGTAGGGTTATATTTAGGTTTCTGAGGAATCTCCAGACTGACTTCCATAGTAGCTTAACCATTTTGCATTCCCACCAACAGTGGGTTAGTGTCCCTTTTCCCCTGCATCCTCTCCAGCATCTATTGTTGGTAGATTTCTGAATGTGAGCCATTCTAACCAGGGTGAGGTGAAACCTCATTGTGGTTTTGATTTGCATTTCCCTGATTGCTAGTGATCTTGAACATTTCTTCATGTGTCTGTTGGCCATTTGGATTTCCTCTTTTGAAAAATGTCTAGGGCCGGCGCCGCGGCTCAATAGGCTAATCCTCCGCCTTGCGGCGCCGGCACCGGCACACCGGGTTCTAGTCCCGGTCGGGGCGCCGGATTCTGTCCCAGTTGCCCCTCTTCCAGGCCAGTTCTCTGCTGTGGCCAGGGAGTGCAGTGGAGGATGGCCCAAGTCCTTGGGGCCCTGCACCCCATGGGAGACCAGGAGAAGTACCTGCTCCTGCCATCCTCCATGGCGGCCATTGAAGAGTGAACCAACGGCAAAGGAAGACCTTTCTCTCTGTCTCTCTCTCTCTCACTGTCCACTCTGCCTGTCCAAAAAAAAAAATTAAAAAAAAAATGTCTATTGAAGTCCTTGGCTCATCTCTTAAGTGGGTGGTATGTTTTGTTTTTGTGGAGTTTCTTCATTTCTTTGTAGATTCTGGTTATTAATCCTTTATCTGTAGCATAGTTTGCAAATATTTTTCCCATACTATCAGTTGCCTCTTCACTTTCCTGACTGTTCCTTTTGCAGTGCAGAAACTTCTCAATTTGATGCAATCCCAGATGTTAATCTTTTTCTTGCCTGTGTCTCCAGAGTCTTCTTCAAGAAGTCTTTGCTAGTGACAATATCTTACAGTGTTTCTCCAATGTTCTCTAATAATTTGATGGTGTCAGGTTGTAGATTTAAGTCTTTAATCCATGTTGAGTGGATTTTTGTGTAAGGTATAAGGGAGGGGTCTTGCTTCATACTTCTGCACCTGGAAATCCAGTTTTCCCAGCACCATTTATTGAAAGGACTATCCTTGCTCCAGGAATTGGTTTTAGATCCTTGATCAAATATAAGTTGGCTGTGGATGTTGGGTTGATTTCTGGTGTTTCTATTCTGTTCCATTGGTCTATCCATCTGTTTCTGTACCAGTACCATGCTGTTTTGATTACAACTGTCCTGTAGTTTGTCCTGAAATCTGGTATTGAGATGCCTCTAGCTTTCTTTTTGTTGTACAAGATTGGTTTAGCTATTCGAGGTCTCCTGTGTCTCCATATGAATTTCAGCATCATTTTTTTCTAGATCTGAGAAGAATGTCTTTGGTATCTTGAATGGTATTGCATTGAATCTATAAATTGCTTTTAGGAGAATGGACATTTTGATGATATTGATTCTTCCAATCCATGAGCATGGAAGGTTTTTCCATTTTGGGGGATCCTCTTCTATTTCTTTCTTTAAGATTTTGTAATTCTCATTGTAGAGATCTTTAACGTCCTTGGTTAAGTTTATTCCAAGGTATTTAATTGTTTTTGTAGCTATTGTGAATGGGATTGATCTTAGCACTTTTTTCTCAGCCGTGGCATTGCCTGTGTATACCAAGGCTGTTGATTTTTGTGCATTGATTTTATATCCTGCTACTTTGCCAAACTCTTCTATGAGTTCCAATAGTCTCTTAGTAGAGTTCTTTGGATCCCCTACAGAAAGAATCATATCATCTGCAAAGAGGGATAGTTTGAGTTCTTCCTTCCCAATTTGTATCCCTTAAATTTCTTTTTCTTGCTTGATGGCTCTGGCTAAAACGTCCAGAACTATGTTGAATAGCAGTGGTGAGAGTGGGCATCCCTGTCTGGTACCAGATCTCAGTGGAAATGCTTCCAGCTTTTCCCCATTCAATAGGATGCTGGCCGTGGGTTTTTCATACATTGCTTTGATTGTATTGAGGAATGTTCCTTCCATACCCAGTTTGCTTAGAGGTTTCATCA